TGCCCTCTCCCCTCCTCTCTCCCCTCTCTGTGCTTATATTTGTGTGTGCAGACCTAACATACTCATTAAAGCCACACTGTCCTACTTGTAGACACTTTCTCCCTCTATATAGAAATCTTCCCCAATCGGTGCCTGTTGGTCCCCCATGATACTCTTTTTGTCTTATGTTAATTGAGACCTGAGTTAATGAGATAGCCACCTGTCAGTAACCTCGCTGTGTGGTCTAATCCCTTCCGGCTGAACTAAGACAGCCGGCCTTTAAAGTTTTTTTGAACGACACGTTTTAGAAAGAAATATCTCCTTATAAGAAAGGTGGATCTAAAAACTTGATGATAATATCATTTATGGTTTCTTAATATACTGAATCTGGCCGCCCGTAGGCTGAATTTCATTCAGTTTACAAAATAAAAACAACTCAACTTGCACATCAATGTTGTAACAATTATCATACAATGTGAGAATATTAAACAATAAGCCAAACAGAAATCAAAATGAAAAACTGATGAGTATCTACAATTACCATTAATACAGTATCTACATGGCACTACAATAGGATAGAATGAAAAGTGGTTGAAAACAAGTTTAAAAGGGATACAAAAAAAAGGTCCTATACATGTCTATATTTAATTAAACATAACTAATCTTTCAAAGTTTTCTCTTGTTCTTGCAATATAATGTTTGTACAGCTGCACACAATAGAAAAAAAACAGCCTCTCATTATTGTGATAAACAACACTTTACTTTAATATAGGCGAAAGATTTTACGAGATCCAATATCTATGAGGCATTTCCTATAATTCCTAAAGTAATCAAGATAATGTTTTTAATGTAATTGTAGATCAATATTTCCCTCAAGAGGTTTCAAATCATTCAAATGATGCCCGATTGCATCCGATTGAAAATCTCTTTCTGTATCTTCTTTTATGTTCTCTTCTGTATTCTCCTCTTTCCCCTAAAGTTAGTTCCAGAATCTGAATGTATGCATTATTCTCTTTCGCTATCATCTCTTGTTTCTTCTTCTACCTTTTCCACCTTCCCAAAAAGTTTGTTACAAAAGCTGATTGTGATTCAATCTAATCTGACTTATTTTCTCCACTTTCACTACAGTTACAGTAGACATATAATGCTGATTTGTTTCTCCATCTTCTTTTGTTCTCTCTTCGTTTTTTCCATCTATTCCCTACAGTTATGTACAAGAGCTGATTGGTTTTCAATCAAAATGTAACTTAAGTTGAGTTAAGGCTGTTTTTATATCAGCTTTCACTTCTCTTTCATCTTATCCCCCCCCCCCCCCCCCCCCCCCCCCCACCGCCAGTTAATTTCAAAAGCTGTTTGGGGGTAGGAAATTAAATTAAAGTACTCTTTAAAGCTATTCAAATACAAGTTGTTTATCAGATGTTGAAAAGCCTACTTTAAATCCAGTGATTCGTCAGTTTTTCACGTGCAGAAGATCATAATTTGCTGACACCAGACTTGGTGGAAATACCATTAATGGGTTTACACATCATTATCCTACACTAACTAAATCCTTGAGTGACTCTTTAACCAATTCTTCCTAATACCTAAACTAAAACACACTTGCAACTCTTACCCAAACATCTTCGATGAAGTAAAGTTTGGAGCATTTGTTGCCACAGCAAATATTTGGTCACTCATGGAAAGAGGTACTTATTCTATGAAGCTCTTTGAATATTTGTTGTGCTTGCCTATTCCACGTGCATCTGCTTTACCTTATAACATTTGTTGCCATTTTAATAAATTTAGTGAATTTGTATGTGAAAGTTTCCCACGTTTATTTGCCGATAAACTGAGAGGATTCTTCCGAGATCATTTATGAAGGCTAGATTTCAGATCTGTGACTATGATTGATGGTTGATCATTATATGTTGTGAAGGTAATCTGTTAAACCTAATGAGAGTGCTTTTTAGAGATTGGAATTGAAGATGATAGGATGAGTTCAATAAATATATTTTGAAGAGATGTTTTAGAGGCAGGATAAACCTGTCAGATTTGTTTTCCTTTATTTTTATTTTCGTAGTGTGGGGTGGGGGGGGGGGGGGAGGCTTTCAGTGGAAGGAAACAAATATTTCATTTATTAGTTAATTAGTTAATTAGTTAATTAGTTAGTTTATTAGTAAAAGTTAAAGCCTTTCTGGCTCTGAACAGACATTATCATCTGTTGAGAGTCAGAAGGATATTATACCTGTACCTTATTAACATTTGTGCAGGATTAAAGCCCTTATACTGATACTACTGCCCCTTAACACCACCACTAATAATAATAATACTTTTGTCAATCCCAAGAAGCCTTATCAGCATCAAAGCTGTTCTTCCTGAGTGCCACACAATTATTGATAGCCCAGCATTACCAGGTACCCAGTTACACCTGGGTAGAGAGTAGCATAATATGGATAAATGTCTCGCCAATGGACATTAGTGGCACAGCTGGGGTTCAAACCCTTAGCCCTTTGAAGAAGAGTTAACTGAATGAACCACTATACCACAACACCTCCTTCTTGCTCATAGATGTACATGTAGAAGACAATATCATCAGATTAGAGGAAAGCAAGGTGTACTTTAGGAAGCCTCACTTTCCATCATCGGCTAAACCAAGAGGACAGCTCGTGATTGGTTTATTAAGAATCGCTTATTTGAAGAGCTCGGAGGTTTTTAACGGGGCTCTGCCCCCCATCTGTCCTTTCAGCGTGATAGATAATCCTTGTTACCCTCTGACAAACGCTGTTGAACCATCCATCGATATCCTCAGCCTGAACACATCGGTCTGCGGTGCCGAAGCGATAGTTGGTGTCAGATCGGAATGAAGATGCATGGTGGTTTGAGAAGGATTTGTTTGCATAGGAATCTTTTACCCCATACTGTTGATGTAAACAATTAGCTGTGTTTGTTCGATGAGTGACTTTTAGTCGATCATTCTACATGTAGCTGTATGTTTTCGTTATGGATTTTGTTTCCAGTTTTCGGTGTAGTTGTAGCTCTGTTTCTATGACTATATCTATGTTGAGTGATAAGAATAAAATCCAGCGCTTGGGGGCTGCAGAACTTTCAATTTTGTTTGTGGCCCACTTTTGCAAAGTGTATCAATTGATATGAAACTCTTGGTCTATTTTTCTCTTTCTTTCACATGTCTTTCTTTTTTCTCTTACTTAATATTTGTGTCCTCTATTTTTACATTGTACATGTCTGTCTTTTTCTACTCTCTCTCTCTCTCTCTCTCTCTCTCTCTCTCTTACTTTCTTTCTTTCTCCTTTCTCTCTATTTTCAATCCTTTCTCTCTATTTTCAATCCTTCTCCCTCTGCCTCTTTTCTCACTGTGTATCTTTTTATGCCTAAATTCCCCTTCCTCATTCTCTCTCTCTCTCTCTTCCTCTCTTCTCTTCCTTTTTTTCTCATCATACTTTATGCTCCCCTACGTATTTTCCAAGGACATGTTATGTAAACAAAGAGCATATTCTCTTTCTTCCAATTCTCTTTCCCATTGTACTTTACTCTTACCCCCACTCTTTATGACTTCAGTAAATGGCAGCATTTATTTCTTCTCCTCCTTTTTACTTTTTATTGAACTGTATTCATTATTTTCTCTCATCCCAATGGTAGGCCTACCCATCCATATCTCTTTGTGTTTCTCTCAATCTCTTTCTCATCCTATTTTCCCCTCCCCATCTCATTTAAATACATGCAAATTAGTGTGTATTTTATTTCTACTCCATCTCGATACCACCTTTTAACTCACCGGACTCCATTCATCATGTTCCCACTTCCTCCCCTCTCATCCCATTCAGCACTCTGCATCCTCCTCCTCCATCTTGTTTACTGCCCATAAGGACATGAAGATAAAGCATCTTCCTAATTGACCCCATGCCCAGTGTTTACCCAGAGATGCATTATTTCTCATCAAATGAATAAGTTCCACCCTGAAAATTTGGAAGCCGGAGGATGGGAGGATGCGGTCCCGACAGCTTGTGTCAATGGAGATGTTTGCTGGGAATTGTCAGTGAATTGAGTGGGTTGTATCATGAAAAATGACCCCATATACATCAAGTCGGAGTGATTGTTCTCTAACCCCCCCCCCCCCCCCCTTGGTGTGTCTTTTTCTTAGTAATGTTTTTACATATCTTCTTCTTTTGTTCTTTTGTTCTTCTTCTTCGTCTTCTTCTTATTACCCCCCCCCCCCTCTTTATGTGTCTTTTTCTTAGTGATATTACGTGTCTTCTTCTTTTTTCTTTTTCTTCATCTTCCTCCCCCTCTTTTTCTTCTTCTCCCTCTTCTTCTTCTTTGTCTTCTTTTCTTCCCTTTCTTGTTTCTTCTACTTATCAATGTCAATGTGATTGGATTAGCATGTGTGCACCTGTAAAAAGAGTGACTGGCTGGAATGCTCCCCAAGGGAGTGGACAGTGTGAACTTGAGCTTTTTGAAGTCCAACTAAAAGTTGATTTTAGTCTTTGTGAAACACTCCCCTGATATGGATAAATTCCAGAGGGAAGAAAAAATAAGCATACTTTCAATTCCAAAGGTCCTAGGATACCTTTCAGTAGACATTGTTAAAAAGAAGTTTGAGTTTTCGGAAAGGTGAAATATATTTTTTGAGCTATCTTAGTCGTTTTTTGTTAGTGTTGCAGAATATCAGTGGAAAAAATATGTCTCTTGAAAAGGATTGATCTGTAATGCCACATGTTTGTGTATTACTATATAGTACATATGTATGTACAGTTCATGTGACTTTCAAGAAGACAATCAATTTTGTATAATTTTGATGATTCAAAGCTTCACAGTATACACCAATACGTAATGCTAGATGACCAACCTTTTCTAAATCACTTCCACACAGAACTCAACTTTAGCAATTGGTGTTGTCTCACTAATATCCAATCCTCCTAACCTTCCTTATACCCAACCCCAAGCTCTACCTATCATCTCTTAGCATGAATGACTAACAGTTCCTTTAATACCAAGCTCTATCTTTCCTTCTCATTTTGTTTCAGCATTCGGCAGCTCCCTGTGCATTTCCTGGAGCTGCCTCTGCAGTGCCGCCTGTGCCGTCTTACCGGTATCCAAGCCCCTGCAGACCTACCACCTAACACACCACTGCAGGCAGGTACCCAGTGGCCAGCAGCTGCCATTAAGAGAGTTGTGGAGATGGTGTCCAACAAAGTTCTGGTCGCAGCTGTAGAGGTGAGATTTCAGTGTAAAAATAATGTTTTTCAATTTTATGTGTTATGCCATTGCCCAACTAAGGTGGTATAACGGCATTATTTTCTTAACGGTTAACTCCTTTTTTTCCCCTCGTTTCCCTTTTTTTTTTCCCTCTTTTTTTTTTTCTTTTTTTTTCTGTTTTTTTCTTTTTTAAATTGTCATGATTTATTCATTATTATTACTATCATTAATATTTGTTTTGTGTTATGTTGTTGAGGGGAGGGGCATGTTGCAATATCTAACAAACATCTTGAACATCATTCAAACTATGTTACACCTTAAGAAGACCATCTTATTAGATTTTGAGTCAAAGGTCAAAGATCATATAGAGGTCAATTTTTATCAAATTCCAGATTTTTAACCTCATTATCGTGATATATCAAGAACCATTTGAACCATGTATTTCGAACTTGGTAAAAGTATACATAACTTAATAGTGAGACAAGCTGATTAGATCTTGGTGTAAGAGGTCAAAGGTCGCAGAGGTCTATTCCATAAAATTTTGGGTTTCAGTCTCATCGTAATATCTCAAGAATCATTGGAGGTACATTGTATGACGTCCAACTTTATCCCTGTATGCACCACTCCTGAGACTCATAAACGTGTCTATGTGTCTGTTATCTGTAAATATGAAAACACGCATACATTCATCATCAGTAGATATGAACACAAACATATACATTCATCATCAGTAGATATGAACACACAAATATACATTTATCATCAGTAGATATGAACACCCAAATACATTCATCATCAGTAGATATGAACACACATTATGGATTCACCATCTGTAGATATGAACACACATTATGCATTCATCATCTGTAGATATGAACACACACATACATTCCTGTTCAGTACATATGTATACTAGTAGGAGACCAGCCTGTAGGTCCCGTGACCAATCTCGGGGAACAAAGGTTTGAAAGTGTTTTTGTGTTCCTTGATGAATACCGAACAATTTTGACTTGGGCTGCCCCCTCGAAAATCCCAGGCATTTTCGTGAGGGGTCAACAAAGGTCATACAGGGTAGAAATTCAAATATACTCCAATCGTGTCGATATGCATATCAAACTACTCGTCTGGTCATGAGGATTGAAAAAATGTATAGTTTGCTATACCTCCGACCTTAAATGAGGGCGCTATGGTAAAAAACGTTGAAAGGTCAACACACTTTTGACTGGTGGTCAAATTCACCAACACAGTGAACCTTATCAAATTTCATATCAAACTACTCGTCTGGTCATGAGGATTGAAAAAATGTATAGTTTGTTATACCTCTGACCTTAAGTGAGGGCGTTATGGTCAAAAAGGTCAATGCACTTTAGACTGGTGGTCAAATTCACCAACACAATTAACATTGTCCGATTCTAATGATTTTAGTGTCTAATAATATGTTTTCTGACATAACAAATTCAACTTAGCAACTTTTAAAACCAAAAGTGGTTGCCATAACCTTGAAATTTCCCTCAAACCCATGGATAAGAAGTTATATATGTTTGTCACCGAAACGGCAGCCATTTTGAATGTACATGGTCAAGGTAAGTACTTTTAATTTTGAAAGTTGTATAGTTGAATTTGCCGTGTCAGAAAACATATTATAAGACACTAAAATCATTAGAATCGGACAATGTTAACTGTGTTGGTAAATTTGACCACCAGTCTAGAGTGCATTGACCTTTTTTACCATAGCGCCCTAATTTAAGGTCGGAGGTATAACAAACTATACATTTTTGGAATCCTCATGACCAGACGAGTAATTTGGTATGAAATTTGATAAGGTTCACTGTGTTGGTGAATTTGACCACCAGTCAAAATTGTGTTGACCTTTCAACGTTTTTGACCATAGCGCCCTCATTTAAGGTCGGAGGTATAGCAAACTATACATTTTTTGAATCCTCATGACCAGACGAGTAGTTTGATATGCATATCGACACGATTGGAGTATATTTGAATTTCTACCCTGTATGACCTTTGTTGACCCCTCACGAAAATGCCTGGGATTTTCGAGGGGGCAGCCCAAGTCAAAATTGTTCGGTATTCATCAAGGAACACAAAAACACTTTCAAACCTTTGTTCCCCGAGATTGGTCACGGGACCTACAGGCTGGTCTCCTACTATACAAATATACATTCATCATCAGTAGATACATGTATGAACACACACATACATTGATCATCTGTAGATATGAACACACATATGCATGCATTCATCATCAGTAGATATGAACACACATATGCATTCATCATCAGTATATATGAATACACTCATTTGCACATGCATATGACATCTGTATATATAATGAAATGATGATTGCATTTTTCATCATTTTGTAGATATGTCATTATAACTTTTTTTCTTTGGTAGATATGAACAATCATATTTGTATCCGTAAATATGAACACATGACTATCTGTAACTGTGAATGTGAAAACATGATTGCATTTTTGTTAGCATTACATACATGTATGAACTTCAGGTGATCAGTAGACATAAACACATGTTCATCATTCAGTAGATATATCTTTTAAACGTCTTTAATACTCTTTGTGAATGCCCAAGTGGTTTAGATTCGCAACAACTTTATTTACACAACACTATACTTTCTGCAAGTTGAGAAAATTTGTTGCTGTGAAAAGTTGTCCTAAACTTGTTGCAAAAGATTCATGTTGGAAAACTTCTTGTTTCATTTATTTATAAGATGATATTAAGATGAGGTCAAAATATTTCATGTTTAGAAGTACATACATCAAATACATGTACTCCATTGTAAAACCCTTTTATATGTGAGAATTTTTCCATTACTTTCTCTAAAAGAAAATCCCTGAGATACAAGTCTGGAGGCATTTCCTTTACAATTACATGGAGGGGACCCATAATATGCGGGGATGAAATAAAAAGGTTTTATGGAAAACCATGTCACTTGTCATCCACCATGCTTTCTTAAAGAAAGAGTTGGGTTTGGGTCAAAGATATAAAATGATTTGCAAGAATTCTCATACATTGTATGACATGTCAGTTTATGAGAATATCATAGAGCAGAAATGTCTCCTGAAAAACGATCTCAAAATTGCCTGATTATTCAAAATGTAACAAGAAGCTGAAAGTTTGGTCCAAACATTTGTGTGTAGTCCCATATATTCATGCCTGTTTGCAATGCATGTGATCTCTAGCAAGACCAAGTCAATTTCTTTGCTTTGTGACCATTCCTAAACTTTCCCAGTAGGCCACTTTCATAATGAAACCAAATTCAATGCATAAATCTTTGTTGAGTGCCATGTAACAAATCGTTTCATTCACCTGTTACGAATAGGATGGGAATTGCATACATAACGTTTTGTTAGGTAGGGCAAGCCATAGTGTTTGTCCTACCTAGCAGCAATTTACATTATGACTAAATTGCAATTTAAATATTCGTAACAGGTGAATGAAATTATTTGTAACAGCGCACTTAACAAAGATTTATGCATTGAATTTCGATTTCATTACGAAAATGGTCCATTGCTTCCAGGCAGTTCCCTTCACGATGTAATTGCATGGCCAGGACTCGACTTTATCTTTTAAGATTCCTCTTCGGAGAAATGACAGATAGATGGGGGCAGCATTTCTTAAGGTGTCGTCTGGACAATTTGCTGATTTGATGGTTATAGAAAGTCTGATGTCTCAGAGTCGGCCTGGGTTACTTACAAAGAGGAAAATCAAACTTAATTATTCATGAAAATCTCGGTATAAAGCAAGCCCTCTGGCCTTAATGTTAATAGGTCATCTATATTCCAGAGGCAACTGATATATCTTGTTATATTCCGAAGGAGCAACGCTCTTTAGTTCCCCTTTCTGAAAACAAAGTACTGTTGTCTGCCGAGACCCAGAAGGAAATTATTCAATATACTCCAATATACACCCTTCTAGGTCCCGACAAACAACACTATGTGTATGTCTACTTTGCTTTAGGAAGCTGTTTGTCATATTTAAAACTGTTTTTAAAACTATATGCATCTTTCATTAAATCAGCAAGTTGATGAAAGATATACATATTTTGTTCGGCAAAGTATATTGGTAAATTGGTGTTTGAAATGAAATATGTTGCTTCAAAACACTGTTTGAAGGAACAGTTCATCAGACTAAATCTCAGACGGAGCGAAGGTTTGCCTGAAATATAATGATAAAACTCTAAGATTACACTGTAGAGGATTTGTTTAGCTTTTAAATGTATATCTAGGGATAAAATGAAATTGACTTACTACAAAAGAGAATTCATCTTACAATTTACATGTGTATGCACATTATTTCTTTTACCTTAAATAGAGGAGTTTGGTAACATAATGAGTGTTTAAATGTGGGGATTTTTAAGAGCTGAGCACATAATCAAGAATAATCTTATTGGAAAAAGAAGCTTTGATACTGCTTGAGTCATCTAATCATTGCTTATTAGCTGTAAAATGTATTATATGAAAAGAAGGGAAAAAAGAATATATTTCATATTATCCATTGGGGGTTTTTCTCCTTTTTTCTAGCTGACAATTTTGCTCTCGTACTGATTTTTTACCCTAAAGTATTTATCTATTAATTCTTTTTTTAATTCATTTTCATTTGTGAATTTATTTATTTATTTTAGTTTTATATATTCATTCACTCATTAAATCAATCAATTCATTCATTTAGTTATTTTACTTCACCAAATACATAGAAAGTTATGTGTAATTTGTAGGCAATTTTTCTGCGATGTAATTCTAGGTGGGTTTGCATGAATCGAGCTTACCGGTGCAGTCGCCATCCACGTTTAGCACTGGCCAGTGCACTTTTACATAGTACATACAGTACCTCCTCAGTATGCATTCAAGAGGAGAGATTTGAAACCACTTTAAGACTCTTAAAGATTTCCACATTTCATACCTTTTATACCTTAAAGCCTTCCCGACATCGCCCGGTAATCTGGCCATTTGTCATGTCGCCAAAACTTCACGATTGCTCGGAGA